TCCTTCGTTCATTCGTATTCGCAAAATTTTTATTTTAAATTTTTTTAGCTTCACAAGGAGCTTCTAACAAATAATTTCACTATTTTTTCAAATGAATTATTAGAACGAAAAGATTTTATGTTGAACGTAAATGAGAGGGAAGCACCAAGTGAATTTACAAGAAAGCTTAAAGAAGGAGCTTATAAGACAGATTTCACTCAGAGTTCAGTCATTAGTCGGACTCTATCACTGCGCAACGTTGCTGAGACCCCTGAGGAACAAAAGGATTTTATTCCAAAGTTGATATTTTTATAATATGACCGAGATTCTCTTGAGGTGATGATCACAAAATTAGCCCAAATCTTCAAGACAAAAAGCAGCTGTGATGTTGGACTTTCAGGGTGAACCTACTCTGATTTTCCTCAAAACAATATCTGGAAAGCCTCTCTTTTCAAGAGAACTAAAATGCGCACTTACATGAGCAGAATATTTTTGCAGCTGCGCCCAACATAAGCCTTTTCATGAGACTAGAGAAACTACCCGGATAAAGTTCTTTTGTAAGGTGTGAAAGGATGACGCTGGAAACAGCGGGGTTGACAATAAACTCATTCCAGATGATAAGGTCCGCAAGTTTCTTGATAGCTGCAGTTGTTCAAGAAATGAAGGAGAAGAAACATAGGAACATAGATTTGTAGCAAGTTAACTATGAATTCAAAAAAAAAATGATGTCATCGCCAGAAAAATTGGAAAATATGGCAAAACTAATCCATCAATTAGATTTGCATCCATATATCAATAATTCAAATACTGAAATGAAAGACCTACCGGATCAAGTGACAGAGGGACAGATGTCGGCCTCATTCCCGTTTTTTCTCCTGATAACTATTGTCACTCCTCTCTCATAATCTGCTTCACAAAACTAAAAGTGAAAAGTTCACAATAGGCGATTGAATATTTTGGTCAAAACAGCTACATCACTTTAACTTATTTTCCGCTCCTCTTAAAAGAATTTCGATCATGGATATGGTTAGACCTTGAACAAAAATCAACGATCAAACCAACAGCTCCATTTCTCCATCCTATATGCCCAGTTAAAGTTCTAAATGCTGCGTGCATACGTATTTTAACAATTCCTAGCCATAGTAGCAAAAACGTGAACACCGCGAAAGGTCCTTTGAGGATATCCGAAAACACAAATTTCATGATTTGAACTGCTAACGATATCATCTTGAACTAAAGAACTAACTTAGTCAAAGTGTAAAATATCAATTTTTCAATAAGTTTATGCGATCTCACGTGAAAATTTAGTGGATATTTTAAACAAACGTTTTGATTTATCAGTCGCGTTAATGCTATATAGGTATAAGGACTTGGCATATATGTAAAATCAATCACTTAGAAATTGCGTTGCCCCAAGATTTTTTTTAATTTGAAAATGACAAGACATAGAATGGTTAATCAACATTTTTAATATCTAAAATATGAGTGCATGTGCGGCTACTGTGACTCAGAGGAGGAAACTCTTGAAGCTTCATATTCTTCTCAGGCGCATTGTTAAAAGTTGAGAAAATAGCTGAGAACGTAACATTTGCCTCTCTTATCGAAATTTATAGAATTCTTTAAGTCACTGTCAAATTCCACTTAGATTTTTACCATAGCTCATAGCCTGAGGTCATACTCCCATCACAACTTAGGCGACACATAAAGCACATACCTTGCGCCATTTCCGGAGAAGTCTTGTACATTTGCTTTAGTGCGCAGTCAGAAATGAGCTGCTTTTGTGTTTATGTTGGTTGTTTTCGGGTAAAATCTACAAAATCTTTCATTTCTTTTTTTTTCTGGCGTGCGAAATAATTAACAACAATGTCAAATAATAGTCTCAGTGGCATATTCGCAAAAACTTCGTTCCTCAGGAAGGAATGAGTGCTTCAATTACCCAGATATCGAAGACGTACTGAATGTTCAAATGTTAAATAAAAAAAGAAATTTATATAGTGTTCCATAGATTTGATTCTAAATGGTCATTTACTCACTATTTGAAGACAGCGATCAGCACTGGCATGGTGACTACGATACAATTGAATCCAGAAAATCATAAATCAAAGGCAACAAGCTTTGTGGAAGTACCCATCTCGTGGTTCGCTAGATCTGGCATTCAATGTGCATTTACAGCAGACAAGCAACCACAAAATATCCATATATGCAAAGTTTAGACATTTGAAAACTTGAAAAACAAAGAAAACGGACAAGTATGTAATGTTTATTTTCATACATGCACGCATAAAGTTGTGTCTCACAAGAAATGTTAACAATCAACCGCGAACAGGGCATCCAACACCGTTGCACATGATGAAAAATCCATTATCTCGTTGCCCAAGAAACGTATTTCCAAAATGATCAACATGGTAACCGGTGTTGTAAGGCCATTGAATTCCCTGTGCACAGACATTTAGTGGAATAACCAACAGTAGAAATAAGAAGATGCGAATGTTTAGCATAGTGAGTCTAGCAGGCAGTCAAAGGTGAAGCCTTTTATAGCATAAAGTGAGAGAGAACTAAAGAAATCGAAAGGAAGAGATGACGTAGCCTTGTAAGAAAATATTGAAACCAAATAAGAGGTTACAGCCCTTGAAACTCGTTAAATCATGTTCTACGCTACGCAAAGAACAATAAATTTTCGAAAAACATCCATTTAAGAGGAGTAGCGTAAGAGAAGAGATCGAGACCATTGATCAAAATACAAAACCGTAAACGAAATCAATCCGATAAAAATGCAAAAATCAAACACATCCAAGTTAGATGTAGTCAAGAAGGTTGTAAGTGCGTAATAAAGATGCCTAGCGGATCTAAGAGACATGCAGTATAAAGATTTCCCAAAATAGCAGGTGAAACATCGAAGCAAATTATAAAACGCAAAGACAACTGACTGATCAAACGGCGCAAATTAACAAATGCTGTTTCGAAATCAATTTCATTTCGGTGAACGATGCAGTTACAATGTATATTATAAGAGAAAATACCCTGAGCATGGTACTTGTCTTAGCACAAAAATGCACAAAAGGGATACCGGGATACATTCAGTTACTCGGCTGTACTCGGCTGCACCGCAGTTGTCCTAGCTGTCATTACTCAATTATTGACAGTATCGATCAAGAGCTCATGAAGTCGTCATGAGTCTTCACACTGTGGAGCGCACTGAATAACATCTTCATAAGTAAGAATAGGAGAAGCACTACGAACATGGTCATTTCACTCACATGAAATTCTATGTAGACCTGTTTGTGTTCAGTCTGTTCGACCATAAATTGCACGGAGAGAACACCTCGAGAATCACAAAGTATTGAAACCTTAAACAGATAAATCTGCAACTCAACCAGTCCCGCAATAACAAACAAACAAACAAGCTGGCAAAAATTGCTCACTTTATTGGCTATTGCAAACGCTGTGCTCATGTGCCTAATTAAAGTGAGTAGATAGCTGTGAGTTACCGGCTCATTGCATTCCAGTCGTTCAACTTGCTCAGATTGCCTTGGAAATCTTGCCTGCATAGATACTTCATATGACTCCTCACAATCTTCCATAAATAGGAATATGAGTCGGAAGATGTAAAATTTCAGAGGCAAATCGAACTTCTAAGGGGCTTAAGAAACAGCAAAGATGAACATCGGCTGGAAAGATGCATATGGGATATTTTGAATAGATGTAACTTGGAAAATATGAACTCTCAATTGCTAATTCTTAACCAAAAAACGCTCAACTTCAAACAATTGTGGTTTAGAATAAGTACCGTATTACAGCAATACAGTACTCTTAACAAAATAGTAAAGGTGCGAAGTAAAAGCGTATAGAAGTATATATGGACACAAACTAACAAACATAATATCAAACTAGGAATGGAATTGAAGGTCAGTTTGCGCAGGGATACGCCTTTCACCATTAGGAAACAAGGTGATAAAATACGACTTCTGCTTTAACAGATCAAATGCAATGCGAAGATATTTTCAAAAATGGAAAGTTAATTCTATGGAACTTCAACTAAACATTTTGAGTGGATGATATCCAACTGAGGAGAATGAGGGCAGGGCTATAACTTACTGATCTTCCACCAAGATGAATGAGTTATTTAAATACGTAAGATTCAATTTTGTTCAGTTCTAAACTCAACAAACTTTTAACTAGCCTTGATGTGCTTTCAGTTTCATTTCTGGAAGGGAGAAATTCAAAAGCCTACGTCTCTTTCTTTAAGATTATTTCTTTGCAAGAACCGACCACAACTCTTCCGATTTCTCCTTCCGTGATAAGCAGAAACTCATCCCTGTTAACCGTTATTGTAACAGTACGACTACTCGCGTCGAGCTCCTAAAGTACAGTAACATCATCCATAAGAAAGAGCAATATCATAGTCAAGGAAATAGAAATAAACAATTATTTAGACTCTTTGCACAGTGAAAATGCACATCAGCATCAAATCGAAGCAACGCCAAGCTTCAAATTTTATGTTTACCTTACATGCTGCAAAGATACCCAAACTTTCCTTCTGCTTCTTTGTATCAATGCATGTTTGCATTTGCACCATGTAGCGCAAAAAGAACTCAAATAGAAACCCGCCTTTATTGCTTCTTTTATCATATAAGCTTTCATAACCACTCTGAAACTGACATCTTCTTTGTCGAAGTCGAAATCGAGCACCTTCAATTATCTAGTGCAATGGCATCTTGAAAAGAAAAGAAGCTTGACCAAGTCAATATATACCTGCTCAGTATCTAAAGTTTGTATGCTCATATCTACGACGATTCCATCTTCTTCGAGAATTAGTTTTACTGGTTCACCGTATCCTTCGTAGCTCATTTTCAAGGTGGCTCCCGATCCAGAATGCATACCAATACATTCCTTTAAAAATTTCTTGATTGTAGATGTATTCTATAAGTGATGTGCTTGCAGATCATCCCCTAAGATTCGCTAAGCGAGTGTTCGTTTTTCAAAAAAAA